CCCTGATGTGATGACATCACGTTGGGGACGTCCGCCCCCCCCCCCGCCTGCGCGCCAGATCTCCAGAAACGGCAGTTCCCTGCACTTAAAGGAGCCGGCGTTTCCCTTTTAAGTGCAGGAGCCGGCGTTTCCCCTTTAAGAGCAGCCGCGTTTCCCTTTTAAGTGCACGAAGCTGGCATTTCCCTGCAAGCCTGATCTCAAGCGGAGATCGGGCTTGGGAGGAAACACGGGTTCCACAAAGGGAGAGAGAGGGGTGGCTGTGGGTGTTGGGGGTGGGGCTTCCCCTGCTGGCCATCTGGGGGACCCCTGGCAAACCGGGGAGGTTGGCAACCCTATGATGCCTCCTGGTTTCTTGTGAAGCAGCTCCTGCTCCAATGAGATGGAGGAAAGAAAGGATGGGCTTCTTGCTTCCAAGAAGAAGTGCTTTGACCAAGCAGTGAATGGGTGGCAGGAAACCCACTGGTGGGAGCTAGTTTGGGGATTGTTGCTCTAGACTCACCATCAGCATGTGCAGGGTGCTCACTCCCGGGTGCCGCCCCATAGTTGTGGTGGTTCCCCACAGAATTAGCCTGGTGGTAATATGACAAGTCATTGATTCCTGGAAGAGAACAGAGTGAGCCATTAGAAATGGAAAGGGGTTGTCCCGGAGATCTTCCCGCTGTCCAGTGGCCTATTTGCCCATGGCTCGGGGGCAAACTACAGGGACCCTGATCAGGTGGAAAGGTGTCATAAACAAACAAAACTAGACATTACCTTGACCATGAGCCAACAGTATTTTAGGACCCCTTCCTTGCGATGCTTTACACAAGTGGCCAGCAGGGACTGGGCAGCCATTTTGCAGCGGCAAGTCCCTGTTGGCAACTCCTGTCTATAAGTGCAGCAGTGGCCCAATTCAGATCAGACCTTTGGCGCAGTGAGGGAACTTTGCTGCAGTTCTCATCCGAATCAGGCCTCTGCTGCACTTTTACCCAGGAGTTGCTGCTGGGTGCCTGGTGGTAATATGACAAGTCGTTGATTCCTGGAAGAGAACAGAGTGAGCCATTAGAAATGGAAAGGGGTTGTCCCGGAGATCTTCCCGCTGTCCAGTGGCCTATTTGCCCATGGCTCGGGGGCAAACTACAGGGACCCTGATCAGGTGGAAAGGTGTCATAAACAGACATTACGTTGACCATGAACCAAGAGTATTTTAGGACCCCTTCCTTGCGAGGCTTTACACAAGTGGCCAGCAGGGACTGGGCAGCCATTTTGCAGCGGCAAGTCCCTGTTGGCAACTCCTGTCTATAAGTGCAGCAGTGGCCCAATTCAGATCAGACCTTTGGCGCAGTGAGGGAACTTTGCTGCAGTTCTCATCCGAATCAGGCCTCTGCTGCACTTTTACCCAGGAGTTGCTGCTGGGTCTCACAGATGCAGTATGGCTGCAAGTCCCCATGGCAAACTGGCATAAAACGTAACGTGTCGTTTGGCCCTCAAATGGCCCTGCAGCATGGATGGGGATGAAAAGGCAGATGGGGGGCACTGATGGACTGATAGACGCATGCAGGTGCGGGGCTGAGATGTAACCATCGTTAGAGCATAAGAAGAGCCCTGTGGCATCAGACTAAATGTCCACCTTGCCCAGGATTTTGTTTGCAGAAATGGCAAGATGGATAACCAGTTGTGAGGATTAAAATGGGAGGAGAGAAGAATTTATGTACACTGCTGTGAGTCCCCCTGAGGAGAAAGGCAGGGTTGAAATTAAGTTGTGGTGTAGTGGTGTAAGTGTTGGACTATGGGCTTTTCCACATTCTCATTTTCCTCATTTGTAAGTTTCTGTGTCTTTGGGGGGGGAGGTCTGTTTCGCATGCGTTTTGCTCCCTCTAGTGGTCGATTCAATATTACATCAGATTATGTCTGGCATATCTTCCAGCAGATTTAAAGTGCAGGGTTTTATGCCAGACATAAACCGATGTAATATCAAATGGGCCACTAGAGGGAGCAAAACGTATGCGGAACAGACCGCCCCCCCCCAAGCAACAGGAACTTTACAAGTGAGGAAAATGAGACTGCTGAAAAGCCCTATGATCCGTGAAACCCAGGTTTGAATCCCCACTATGCCATGAAAGCTTGCTGGATGACCTCGGGCCAGTCGTATTCTCTTGGCTTAAACTAACAGGGTTGTTCTGAGGATAAAACAGAAGAGAATGGTGTAAGCTGCTTTGGGTCCTCATTGGGGAGAAAGGCAGGATTTAAATAAACTAAATAATAAAATAATAATAGCAAGTAAGTAAATAAAAGCACCTGCTTCCCATAACCGGGGCAGATTGAGGTACATCCAGGACTAAGAGTAGTGTTTAGCTTAGCCTTTGAGAAGATTACTCAAATGGGATAAACTTCCCTGAGAGGCAGTCTGCCCACTGATTTTCTCTTGTCATATATACCTACAGGGTCCTATCAAGTGTGTTCTAATAGGCTATTAGCATAATAGCTTATCAGCATATGCCATGCCCCCTGACATCACTGGAAGTGATGTCAGAAGGGGAAGCAAAAGGGGGGAGGCACCTTCAAAAGCCTCCCCTCCCCTTTCCCAGCCAGCGGGGAGGGGGGAGCGAAGAGAGAAGGGGTTTAAAGTTTAAAAACCTCTTCTCTCTTTCCATTATATTCTATGGGGCCATAGAATATAATGGAAAGATCGCGCCGCTGCTGCAGCATGACTCCAGAGAGAAGGAGCGCGGGGTCAGGGGGCGGGCAGCTGGGGGCGGGGCCTTGCTGCCACTGCCATTTCTACCTGCTCCTGGGCTGCCGGAGCGGTGCTCCAGCGCGCTCCGGGCCCAACAGACCCTTGCAGATATTCCATCTAAACTGAAAACGTGCTTGAATCATGTACCTCCAAATCTTCTGCAAGATAAAAATGTCCCACAGCAGAGACACAATGATTCCTGAGCACACCTTGACCTAGGGGTCAAGGGTGGTATATAAATCGAATTGTAAAAGTAAAGTAAAGTAAAGTAAAGTAATATGAAAATTGTTCTGGGAGTCTTGAAAAACCTTAAGAAACAGATGGATGGGTGAGCAGATTGATGAGATTAGGGGCATTCTCATTTTACTTGCTGCTAAATTCCTGGGTTTTTGGGGTTTCCACCCATTTCGCATGTGTTTTGCTCCCTCTAGTGGTCAATTCGATATCACACAAGTTTATTTCCAGCATATCTCCCTGCAGATTTAAATGTACAGAACAGAACACTCCCCCCAAAATAGAAGCGGGAACCTAGCAGTGAGTAAAATGAGAATGAGGAAAAGCCATAGTGAATAAAAACACAGGCTTAGATCCATTTAAAGATTTCCGAATGTGCTAGGATTCTTCTGCAAGCGGAAGAATCCAAAAAGCTTCATACTAGTACCTTCTGCTAACTGAAACCCAGTGCATCTCAGACTGCTTTCCCACTCATACAAGATGTTGCACAAGCCATTTCTGAGCAGTGAAAGATCCAAGGGAGCAGGGCTTTTATTCAGGGGGAACGTGCCAGAACAGCGTTCCGGAACCCCTTTGACAAAGTCCTTTCAAAAATGTTTTAAAAGTTCATGAGTTTTCAGTATACAGATTGAAAACTTCATCTCCCTCTTGAGAGATCCAGCACCTCTTTATCCAAAATAAGAAAGAAAGAAAAGGCCCTGCAAGGGAGAAAATGCTTGGTGTTGCACAAGATCTTGCATGCACAGAACTGCTCTCTTTACATTTCTGCCTGCACATCGCTGAATACAGGACACAGAGTATGATCCCTAGACCACAGACCGGCCGTGATGGTGACACCAACCTTCCACCATGCTGCTGGGTTGGCTCTGCCCATGGAGCGGCCGAAGGTAACAGTGTTCCACGTAGTTGTTGACTGGCGGGTTCATTGGGTTGAACATGGTTCATTAGAGGCCGGGCGCTGTCATGGGCACATCTGCTTTGGTATGGGATGAGGTGCGGAGGGATCCAGATCTGCAAGAGACAGAATGCGGTTCTGTCGGTAAGCTGGAGAGACCGACATCGAGAAATCCACAGTCACGGTAGCTCAAGAAGAGTTCCCACCATATTTTGGCTGTGCATTCAAAGGTTATCCTCAGGGCTTTTTTTGTAGAAAAAGCCCAGCAGGAACTCATTAGCATAATAGGTCACACCCAACAGCAGAAACTCATTAGCATATTAGGCCACACCCCCATGTTACCAGAAGTGTTGTCGTCCAGCCACACCCACCTTTTGCTTCTTATTCTGTTTACTTTGTTTGTTGTCAAAACCCAGGGCCTTTTTTTTGTAGCAGGAACTTCTTTGCATGTTAGGCCACACATACCCTAATGAAGCCAATCCTAATGAGTTTCTGCTGTTGGGTGTGGCCTATTATGCTAATGAGTTCCTGCTGGGCGTGGCCAACTCAGGAGCCAGCCGGAACTCCGTTCCTGTGCGTTCCTGCCCCAAAATAGCCCTGGTTATCCTTCATCCCAGCGGATGTCTTCCATGGCTAGCCCAAGTTGTGCTCCCACACACTCTTAAATGAATTGTTGGATACACTCGACATGAAATAACAAAACAAACAAACAAAAATCTAACCCCAAGCAGAATTGTTCGAGTGCTTCTTTACAGGGCAAACAGATTCCATCACTTCACACACAGAAATTAAGCAGGTGATGCTTCTGCCGGCTTTGCTAAAGGGGGAGGGGAACCTCTGCCGCCTTAGTTTTTGCATTGCACGTTGCTGAGCAGAGGCAGAGGGGCATTAACACACAGTTGGGCGACTCTACTCACAAACAGTGGCTATGGTGTACCTAGGAGGAAGTGGCCAGAGTGGTACCTTCCACATTCCGCTTTCAACTCTCACAAGCAATGCTCCCTCTAAGCTGTGGGGTCTTGTGAGCAAAAATTCTGCTTTGTGAGCTACTGGCATTAAGGTTGTGAGCGAGCGATTTGGCTACTGCTTAAATTAGTTTGCTCTGGAGCCATCCTTCCTGACTTAAGACAAGAATGCATGAGCCGGAGGCTAAAAAACTGTGAGCTGGCTCACACTAACTCAGCTTAGAGGGAACACTGCTCACAAGACAATAAGGAATGCAAGTTATTTTCACCCCTGCCAACGGCGTGGATGCTGAAATCCGCAGCAGCAGCAGGCTCTGGTGACTAACACACCGCATCATAGTTTTTAGCATTTTACTCGATGCTTCTCAACAGCCAGCAATACCTCCTTTGTTCCAGCAGAGGGAGCAAGGACCACAGCAAGGACAGATGCATCGCCTTAAGAAGTGGTACCTATATTTTATCCCTCCCTGACCTGGGTAGTCTGGGGTAGCCCAATTGTCAGATCTCGGAAGCTAGGCAGGGTTAGCCCTGGCTACTATCTGGATGGGAGATGTTTGAGGAGTAGCAGGGTTGTGATGCAGAGGCAGGCCATGGCAAACTACCTCTGAACGTCTCTTGCCTTGAAAACCCTACGGAGTCACCGTAAGTCACCTGTGGCTTGATGGAACTTTCCAGCACGCCATATGTTATTCCCTGGCTGATACAGGGGGCAAGGGGATTTTGATAGGGTGAGGGTAATGTGGGGGGGGGGGAGGTTAAAATCCCTTCTCCTAATTACTACAGTCCCTATTTTGGTCCCTTGAGAGCCAGGAGGTGTCTTAGGGACCAACTTTTTCTTTTAGGTATTTTTGTATTTTTATGTGCATGTGTGTGCGCGCGTGCGTGTACCTGGAAGTCATGGCGACCTCTGGTGACTGACCCCTACTGGGGGCCCTACTGGGGGACATTCAGAGAGGTGGCTGAATCAAGCCTGCCCCCGCCTCCCTCCTGGCTGCTGGTATTCCAAGGAGGTCTCCCATCTAAGTACTTGCCCAACAACAAAATCAGTCTGAGATGTCTCATGGTCATAGAAGCACAGAGTTGGAAGGGGCCCTACAGGCCCTCCAGTCCGACCCCCTGCTCGACGCAGGACCAGCCTAGCCTAGAGCATCCCTGACAAGGGTTTGTCCAGCCGCTGCTTGAAGGTGGCCAGAGAGGGAGAGCTCACCACCACCTTGGAAGACCTCAGTTCAAATCCACCCTATGATGAATACTTTGAACACACGTGAACACTTGCAGCGGCCTTATTCTCAATCTAGCCATCAGTCCACCAAGGTCTGTATTGTCTACTCAGACTGGCAGCAGCTCTCAGGGGTCTTTTATATCAACTACCGCTTTCTGCTGGAGGGGCCAGGAACTGAACGTGGGACCTCTGGCATGCAAAGCAGAGGCTCTACCACTGATTCACAGTCCCTATTTTGGTTTCTTGAGAGCCAGGATGTGTCTTAGGAACCAACATTTTCTTTTGGGTATTTTTGTATTTTTATGTGCATGTGTGTGTGCGCGCGTGCGCGTGTGTACCTGGAAGTCATGGCGACCTCTGGTGATTGACCCCTACTGGGGGCTCTACTGGGGGACATTCAGAGAGGTGGCTGAATCAAGCCTGCCCCCACCTCCCTCCTGGCTGCTGGTATTCCAAGGAGGTCTCCCATCTAAGTACTTGCTAGGGTCGGCCCTGCTTGGCTTTCGAGGTCTTGCCAGGTCAGGGGAAGGATCAGCTTTTGATCCTTAAATATGCATATTTCCAGGGCTTTTTTTGTAGAAAAATACCAGCAGGAACTCATTAGCATAATAGCCCACACCCAACAGCAGAAACGTATTAGCATATTAAGTCACACCCCTGATGGCACAGCTCATTAGCTTATTAGGCCGCACCCCCATGTTACCAGAAGTGTGCTCATCCAGCCACACCCACCTTTTGCTTCTTATTCTGTTTACCTTGTTTGTTGTCAAAACCCTGGGCTTTTTTCGTAGCAGGAACTCCTTTCAATGTTAGGCCACACACCCCTAATGTAGCCAATCCTAATGAGTTTCTGCTGTTGGGTGTGGCCTACTATGCTAATGAGTTCCTGTTGGGAGCCAGCCGGAACTCCGTTCCTGTGCGTTCCTGCCCAAAAATAGCCCTGCATATTTCCCCTCCCCCCAGGTCCTTTCATCCAGCCTTCCCGATTACCAAAACAGGATTACGTCACCAAGCAGGACCAAACGTCCAACTGCCTTCGCCCCCGACTGTGTTTTTCTCAAGAGACACCGAGCAGCTTGTAATAGAGACAGCTGCCTCAACACTTCCTCCGAACATTTTGAAACGCTCTGCGTTACTAAACGTAGTATCTGGTAGTCAGACCCTTTGCAAATTTACGCTGGAGTCCAACCACCTTGGGTGCAGCGGCTTAAAGCCTCAGACTAGGAGCTTGGAGACCCAGGTCCGAATACCCCCCGCTCTGCCATGGAAGCTGAATGGGTGATATCGGGCCAGTCCCTCTCTCTAACTTACCTCACGAGGTTGATGGAAAGAGTAAAATGGAGGGGGAGGTGAGACCAGCGTACCTCACTCCAGGCCTCTTGGAGGAAGGGTGAGGTCAAAATATACTAACGGCGGAGAAAGGGAGACGGAGGTAAGCCCCTTTAGGGCCCCGCTGGGGAGGAAATCGGGGTATGTGAAGTAAAGATATATTTATTTCAATGGGATTTACTCCCAAGTGAGTGTGTGTGGAATTGCACAACTGCAGAAATCGCACCCCTGAAGCTTTAAGAACTGGAGACCGGGGGGGGGGGGAGGCAGGTATGGCACCTGTTCCCCCCCCCCAATGGATGGAGGGAAAGCTGCTTCAAGCTGTAGCCGACTTATGGTGACCCCTCAGGGGGTTTCCAAGGCAAGAGATGTGTGGTGGAAAGGGGCATTTCCAAGGGCAGAAATAGTATCCATCCTAAGGTTGCCAACCTCCAGGTGGGATCTGGAGATCTCCCACTTTTTTCAACTGATCTCCAGACTACAGAGATCAATTCCCCTGGAGAACGTGGCTGCTTCGGAGGGTGGACTCGTTGGCCATTGTACCCTGCTGAGGTAGCTCCTCTACCCCCAAACTCTGCCCAGTCTAAGCCCAAAATCTCCAGGTATTTCCCAGCCCAGAGCTGGCAACCCTAATCCATCCCCTCCCGAGTTGCTTTTGGGGGCAGACTTCTACATCAAAAACTCCACTCATGGAACTCTGGGCTCATAAGAACATCAGAAGAGCCCTGCTGGATCAGACCATTGGTCCATCTAGTCCAGCATCCCGTCTCACACAGTGGCCAACCAGTTCCTCGGGACGGCCAACAACAGGGCATGGAGGCCTTCCCCTGATAAGAACATAAGGAGAACCCTGCTGGATGTGGTCCATCTGGTCCAGCCTCCTGTCTCACACAGTGGCCAACCAGCTCCCCTGGACGGCCAACAACAGGGCATGGAGGCCTTCCCCTGACAAGAACATAAGGAGAACCCTGCTAGATGTGGTCCATCTAGTCCAGCCAACCAGCTCCCCTGGACGGCCAACAACAGGGCATGGAGGCCGAGGCCCCCTCCTGATGTTGCCTCCTGGTTCCTTTGTGGTTTAGCCTCAAGTAATGTTCCACTTCTTTTGCTGCTGTTTCAGATGCTGCCAGAGATTTCATATTCCACCTTCCACCCTTCTACTCTGAATCATCTTCAGGTGGTTCATCAGGAAATCGCAAAGAAGCCACGAGAAATTCCCAGCTATTCCAAGGTGTTTCCAGACAGCGACCCCAAAGGGGAGGGTCCTTGTTGGTCAAGACAGAATTTATGGCGAGGCTGGGAGAGAAGGTAAGGGTAAGCATGGCTCCTGACACACCTGCCAGGCCGGGACCTCCAGCAGGGTCTTCCTTCAACCCAATGTCAAGCTTTTATGACAATTACAATAAAGATCCGCTGGCTGGTTTATGTTTATCTATTTGTTTCATTTATATCTCACCTTTCTCCCCAATGGGGACCCAAAGTGGCTTGCATCATTCTCCTCTCCTCCATTTTACCCTCACAAGAATC